AATTATTGTGAGTGTAAAAAGTGATGGAAGTTCGTTAGTGAATTTGTTATTTTATGTGAAACATCATGGCCGACTGCATGACGCATGACTCCTCTGGACCCTAAGTTTCATCCCCCTTGGATATCTGAACACGCGCACGCATTAATCATGATTTATAGTCCTTTGCCTTGTGGTTTTATTCCTCTTCCATTTTAGGGGAATGCGAGGGTACTGCCTCTTTTCGAATGGCTTCTCTTTCAACAGAATATTGCGAAGAGTTGTATTTTTTTGCTGTACTTCTAAAAATAAGAAAAAATAATTAACATCCTGATGAGTTCACAAAAACCATAACCATGAAATAAGTAATTTGAAATATTAAAAAAAAAATAGAAATATTAATTGAGTTAGGTTATGAATGCAAAATAATCCGTAAACTAACCTTTGAAAGTAACAAGACTTAACTACATTCGTATAGGTACAACCGAATAACGACGCACTGATAACAAATAACGAAATACAAAACATTGTGTATGATTATTCTTATATCAAGTACATTTTCTGATTGATGCCAGTAAAGTAAATTTTTATAGCAACTTAATGCTTAGTGCAGTATTTTACATGTTTAAATGATTATGGATAATATAAAATGAGAGAAAAATGCCTGTGTAATTATTAATTGCAAATGTACAAAACTAATGACCAAATTTATTGATTTATAGACGAAATTTTCGATTAAACGAAATGTAGGAACCGATTTCTCTAAAAATTCGAAAAATGACTAAGATCCTTTTTGGGAATTTACAAAAACCATAACCATGGAATAAGTTGACTGAAATATCTATAAAAAGATTAATTGAGTAAGATTACGAGTATTAATGATGTAACTCACTGAATGAACAAGTTGGTTAGAATACGCATAGTAATCTCCAATCATAATCGCGATTATTTTGTTTGAGTTTAAATGCATCAACATCAGATATTTCGAACTTTTTAAATCACCATCCCAAGGACAAGCAAAGTAAAGTTCATGGCGATATTTTTCCACCTATAAAAAATTACGCATTTATAATATTTTCTGATATTCCTTTTAAATAACGTAGTTAATTACCATTTCTGCAAGTTTTTCGCCAATTATTCCAAACGTTGCCAGTGCGCATAAGTAACCAAAAATCTGTATAGCAACTATTAAATCAAACTTCTACAAAAATAAATACAAGCAGTTTTATCGAATTTTTAACGAGATCATCAAACAATATCTTACAATCATACAGCTTATTGTCAGTAAAGAAATTATTAAACTACTCGAAACGATTTGTACTAGTAGATTCCATTTATAGATCGATATAAAAATATTCCAAAATCTAAAATTGTTTATAAAACATAATTATAAACATCAGAAACAATATAAATTTAGGTACTCCATGATAAGTAATTGTGCACGATACACTTCGGCAATTCGGTGATGTCTTTGTTTCCAATTAGGAGAACATTTTAACTCACGCAACGTGCAAATCATTTTTCTGAAGCAAATTTCTAATATTTCAATGATAAACAGCATCATCAAAACACAATTTACAGCTGGTGTAAGCAAATATACGGTAGTTAAAATATGAATTAAAGTTATAACATTTCTTGTCGGTCTATCAGTGTCTGTAAAGAAATACTGTAAATAAAAAAATAATCATGAATTTTATTGATAGAAGGCATAGAATCAATAATGTTTTGCTTACACTGGGAACTATGAATCCACATGTGAATGGTTCCTGGATAACATCGCATTTTTCGGTTATTTTCATTATAAATCCACATATTAGCACGATATAAGTGATAGTAAGCGCAATTTTAAGCAGTTTATTATATTTAGAAATTATATGCGAGACTTGATGGATATTAAGAAATTCGATTATTTTGTCTAAAAGTTTTAACCCGCGGCAGGCTTTCGAATATGTATTAATTTTCATGCTCAAAACAACAAACAAAATAAAACTGGTGGATATAAACTGCGCAAACGTGTTGATTATAGGGACCAAATTAGAAAAATCTGTAAAACATTGAAAAGTTTTGAAATTTTGTTAATGTTATTAATTTTTTATTAATTTTATGAATTTAAGTAATTTAAGTACCTTTGAAAGTAACTAGATAGCCCATAGCACCGAATAATGATGCAATTATAACAATCACATACAAAACACTTTGTAGAATTATTATTAATTTCGTTTCATTTTCTGATCGATGCCAGTAAAAGGATAAAACTTGCAGCATATATAATGACTTCCAAGGGGCCACATTTTTTAAACGAAGATTATCTACCAAATATTCAATATCAACGATGTTTAATGATCACTTTTTTGGGTGTTTTTATGCCGTCTGTCCACATTAAACTAATGTTATACAAATTATATAAAGCATAGGTATAGAAAAAAGTCAGTAATGATAGTTATAAATATACCTAACAAATATAGGCAAATCTATCTACCTAGATAGGGCAAATGAGACTACTTTCCTATATAGGTATTTACTGGTAAATAATATTTTTTGTGAATAATTAAATGATGACTCTAACTGAAAAACATTAAAATTGTGTAAGTTTGGGGCGAGGTCGATGATAATCTTGACACAAAAATAGCAAGACAACAAACGATTTTTTGTTGACATTATTATATTTTCTAAATTGGGATTCTGCGTTTAATCAAAATTTAATCCATTTTTTAAATAAATTGTAGTACCTATTAGGAAAACGAATGATAGGGTCATAGGGTCCTATTATTGATAAGTATTTTAATGCGTAGATTATTATGAATAATATCGGGTGAGAAATAAATGACAATATAAATAATAATAATAAATCTACGAAACTAATGACGAATTTTAGTTATTTATAGACGAAGTTTTGGATTAAACAATATATCTACGAGTATACCTACCTAACTCTACGCATTATTTAGCTTTTTAACATAAGAAAAGTAAATGTTTCTCAATGTAAACGGTGGGAAAAGCTATAAAACAAAGCATTTATTCAAAATAGCTTTTTTCTTTAACTTTTCTTAAATCTCATTCTAAATTTACGGTTTATTAAATATTTCTGCAACGCCTGAGACAAACTGACAATTCAAATTGAAAGTGATATCTATCGCCCGCCAACTATAAATTAAAGTACATTAACAACTACAATTATTACAAAATTCGTTTTCTTTGCAAACATAAATTTTAATGTTTTATTAAAGTTTGTAAATCCGCAAAGAAAAACCGCAAATCTGCTTAGGTAAAACAGCTTTTGACTCGTTTCTAAAGTGTCATGATAATTGTAATATTAGGTTTGGATTAATGTTATTTTTATGTTATACCTAAATTCACGCAAAAAGCAACTAATTTTGGGTTTGCATCCTACCTACGTAGCTACTTATTAGTCAAGAATAAATATTAGGTATGCATTTTGAGCCACAGCAGTCTCAAAAAGCATATTAAACAAAACCATAAATCAAAGCATAAATTCGAACATAATTCAAAAAAGAATTCTTAACTTTTGCTTTAAATCTCTTTCTAATTTCAAGGTTTTTTACTATTCTTCTAGCGTCTCAAACTGTCAACTCAAACTCAAACTCTGGTCCCTAACCCACCGGCATCCATGAATTAAAGTGATTTATATTCGAATTTACATTCCCAAGGACAATTTTTAATTCGTTTTCTTTGAAATGTGTTTTGAATAAGGACCTATCTCTAACCAAGCGCATTTTTAACCTTTTTTTCATTGCTGCTGCATTCACAATATTCAACATTCATTCAATTTCCGTCATGGCCGCCTGTGCTTGCCCGCTTTTGTAATCCGCTAGAAGCATGCGGATATCATACATCCCCAAGTCGTAAAACCAACCCTAAGAGCACTTTGGCCAATGGCGAGCGAGTTAAGCAATCGTGGTCCATTTATGTGCGCCGACCCTCTTGCTTCTCAACTAATATCCAGCCACGGCGGAGGGTTGATGTTGGTCGCCAGGGAGAGCACGGAGGGCGCGTTTTACGAGCGCGCATGCAGCGCGCTCATAATGCCATCTTTAACGACTCGCATGGCCTCGCGTTGCGAAGATATTGCAAAGATGGGAACTTTTAGGGGTCGCTCTTGGCGCACGTACCAATGGCGTACGTCTATCTGGACGAATTGGGGAAAATGTCGGCGTCGTAAAAGCTTTATGGCCGCAGAAGTTATCCACATATATTGCGCGCAGATAAGTGCAGTGTGCAGATGGTCGCTCAATCAAATGTGTTTCATTTTAGCGAAATAATAGCAAAATTCGGCGTTTAATTGGGACGAAAGTTACTCATATCGATAAAACCAATGCTATAATATCGTCATCAGCCAAATTGTTGATGTAAAGTCAGTGTAGGATCGTAAATTATGAAAATGAATTTGATCTGTGGGCATTCAATTAATATTGATGAGAAATTATCTTAATAGTGAATTGTTTAGATATGGTTTTATTGATTAATATTTAATTTCATACATAATAAACTGGTTTTGCTTCTTTAGTGCCATTTACCAACTATTTTTTGTTTTAAAACTGAATAATGATTTTATACAGTAAAAATTTCAAATTTTCTATTAATTTAACCAAGTCTATTACAGTAATTATTAATTTTTAGGCTTATTTTTCTGCTAAATACGTTCTAAATTTACTAGAAGGCCTATTGCAACGCTTTGAACAAAGCAATATAGGTAAAATGTTCTTTTGTGCAGAAATATCAATATTTTGCTTGTAATTTTTTATTTAAAGTGTAAATTTTAACAAATAATTATAATTTGAATCAAATTATTCAATATCAAATAGATTATAAGTTTACAAAACGTGAATAATGCATTTTAAGTACGTATTTGTGAATTTTGTAGTTGCAACACTCGGTGTACATGATATTCGTTTCCGTGCCTCATATAGGCAACCCAATTGACACCTGAAGCTATTTTGAAGCTATACCATCAGTTACTACCTTGTTTTACATAAAAAAAACTAATACTGAATATTATTACAGTATAAAAATTAAAGTTATTTATTGATTGAATTAATTATACTTCTAAATTATTTAAAAAGTACTTAAAATCTGTTTACACAGGACAGGAATACACGTTTAAATGTTTATCTTCTGATACAGACATGATTTTAGTATTGTCCGGACTGAATTTCACGCCCCACACCTATAATAAACAATTATTTAAATAAAATCAATCAAATCTCACGACAACGTACCTGATCCTGATGTTCTGAAAATGTATGAATGCATTTCTTGGTGGCAACTTCCCAAACTTTAACTGTTTTGTCCGAGCTTCCCGAAACAAAGTGTTTTCCATCAGGAGAAAACGCCGCACTTAAAACCCAAGATGCATGACCTGACAGTGTTCCCACTACATCTGCTTGTTGCACGTCGTAGAGTTTTAGATGACCATCATCAGACGCGGTGAGCAAAAACATAGAATCTGGCGAAAAGCTTAACGAACGAATTGGCATAGCATGACCTTCTAATGTGTGGCATAATTTATTGGCTTCAACATCAAAAATATTGATAATGCCATCAATAGCACCACTAGCAATGTATTTTCCATCAGGGCTCTGAAAATCATTATAATCCAGAGATTATTTGTTTAATATTAACTAAACATGGATAAATAGATACTAAAATCACATACATAAGCTATACTCAAAGAGAATTTGCCTCTAGTGTCATATGTTTGTTCAGCTTTTGCAGTTTCAACATTGTACAGAGTAATTATTCCCGCTTGTGAGCCAGATATGATAAACTTATCATCAGGACTGAAAGCAACAGTCCATAAATCCATTGGACCAGTCTCAATATTGGAGATTTTTTCTCCTTTATCCAGGTCCCATATTCTCATACTAGAATCTAGAGAACTAGATGCACATACTAAAAACAAACAAAACAAACTTTAATATAAAGTACAATCGGTATATTTATAAATGCATCTTACATTTGCCATTATTGCTAATAGCAACAGAAACAATACCAAGTGAATGGCCTTCTAGATTATGCTGCAGATTGATTTCATCTTTGTCTAGAGTCCAGACTTTAACCAAGTCATCGAGACCACCTGTGATGATGAAATCTTGTCCATTAGCTTCATTAGTTATGGAACTTCTGAAAGTGATTAGGTAGTAATGATCACTAACATATGTTTATTAAGAATTAAGTTGAAAATAGTTCACCTTGAGTTTTCATTCTCTGGATCATCTTCTTTTTCTTTAGATTCCTTTGGTTTGGTTGTTTTCCCCCAAGCACAACTCCAAATACTATCTTCGTGGGCATTTTCACGTTTTGCCAATACAGAATACTAAAAACCAAGCTAGAAGTATAGATAGCTTGTAAAATATTATAGTTGTACCTACCATTATTTAGCAATTCTCTTGCCGGCGTATTTACAAATGTTTGAAAAGTCTTTTCGAGGTTAGAGTATGCACGAGAATGCTGGTAGAAAGCAGAAATATTGTTTTAAGCGGGTGAGTGAGAATTTTGATTTCTTTATTCGCCTTTACAAATTACACATGTCAGAATCTAATATTATACGTATGCATTATAAATACTTTGAATGTAATTGCTATTGATTTCGAATTATATCAAACTTCACGCAATTACCCGCGGGGAAATTTTTATTCTAAATATTTCCTGAATACATTAAGTGATCGTTGAATAAATCATCTAAATCGTGCTAGCCATTTTGAAGCACACGAATTACATTCATACACTCATTCATTTTGATTATTATTATATTTGGATTATAATTTTACTTATAATATTAATTACATTATATGATTAAGTATAAGTATAACTTTAAGTGTGTACATTCTGCAGTCGGTTCCGATATAACATTGTCAGCGAATACATTGAATTGAAGACCTAAACTCAAATACAAAATGATTATTCAATTTTTAATTTTTGATACTTTCTAACCTGTAATGCTATTTCATTTGAATGAGTCATAAAGTTGCCAATATGTAGAACAATTGGATGTTTAAATTTCATATGGAAAAATATTAATGCTTTCGTAAATTTAATATCTCCATCCCATGGTATAGCATAAAACAATTCAAGTTCCAGGTCATCATTCTAACAAAAATTTAAACAAGTTAAATGTATAGCAATTCGAATATATGCAATTCGAAATTCTGCAGAAATAACTTTTGTATTATTTGAAGTTTATAAAATCATTATTTTTTACGGTAAGGACACTTATGGTCATAAAACTAAGAACAACTCCAGAGTATACTAATTGAAGCATAATTGGCCATTTGTAGATATCATCAATTTCTTGCCATAATCTAAAACAATAATTGTACCAAATGGACCTAGATAGGTTCATATTTAATAGTTTCCTACTTTTCAATATGTTTGCTGACTTGAACTACGTACACTAATTTCGAATAACGATTTTTACTTGATTTGGTTTTCTTTAGAGTACGTAGAATAAGTGTCATTTCAATGTAATGAAACTGTACAAAATTGAATGATTGCATCAACATTAGAATACAATTTAGTGGACAACAAAACAGATACATTAATACAAAGCTAAAGAATATGTTAATAAAATACTTATACGAAGCTTCGTACACATCAATAGGAAATGCCTAAAAATAAAAATATATCATACATTAAGGTCAATAAGAAATTATGGGATAATAATTATGATTACGCATGGTATTAACAATCCACACGAATATTTATCTTTCGTTTCGCAATTTTCCACTGCTCGCAGAAACATGTGTCCCACAATAAGATTCGCCATAGAAATATATAGAAATTTTGCAAGTAAACTGTACTTATCCACCAATTTCTGCCATTTTGCCTTGGTAGTAATCAAATATTGAGTGTTATTAAATTGTTCAAACACTATCTGCATCTTGTGTGAGAAATAATACAAGAAATAAGTGACACTTATTCCAAAAGTTATTGATACAATACATGATAAATCAAACAGCATTTCATTATATCTTTCGTAATCTAAAACAGACATCACAATGTTTTTGTAAACAAAATATGTGTTTAAACTTACGTAGCATGAGCAACGCGTGATTTGCCGGCCATAGAAAAAATTGACTGCATCCAATAATATTTAATAAAATTAATAAAACATTTTTCTTATAACTATTGCGTAGCCAATAAACTTTTGTAAAAACTATGTACAAAAACGAAGAATCTGTAAATTTTTGTGCTTTGCGACGTGGAGCTAGCTCCATGATTCTTATTGGTATGATAAAAACCGAAAATTCATGTAATTCTGAAGCTTAACGTATATAATTTTAATGCGTAGAAATTGAAATAAAATATTAAAACGTTACCGCTATCTATGTACATTAATCAAATTAGTATTGAGTTGAACTGATGAAACTTGCGTAATGCCTAAAACGATTAACAGCAAGATACTCGTAATTCGATTCAGAATTGCGCAGGCGAAAGTTTATCTCCGTGACTAAAGCTCGTGACTAAAGTGCTTTTGTCACTGCCCTGGCCGTCCGGGTTTAAAGTAGGTATCACTTTTTGTGTCAAAAAGCATGGAAAAACTGACGCTTTATTGGTGCAAGTAGAAAAAAATAATTTTTAAATCAAATGACCGAAAATGTTTGATTTTTTTTATTTGAGTTAACAACTTACACATGCTAGAATCTAATATTATATCAACACAAGTTAATCCCTTCTTTTACACCCTTCAAGTTACATCAAACTTCACACAATTAACCGTAGAGTTTGTTAATCTAAACATTTTCTAAATAATTAATCTAAATCGGTCTAGTCATTTTGGGAATAATAAATTACTCATCACTACTTTTGATCACTACATTATATACTATGAAGTTCCACAGAAAAAAAAGTTTAAGTGTGTATTTTCTGCAGTCGATTACGATATAACATTGTCAGCGAATACATTGAATTGAAGACCTAAACTCAAACACAAAATAATTATTCAATTATTAATTTTTAATACTTTCTTACCTTTAATGCTATTTCATTTGAATGAGTCATAAAGTTGCCTATATGTAGAACAATTGGATGTTTGAATTTCATATGGAAAAAAATAATCGCTTTCGTTAATTTACTGTCTCCATCCCATGGTATAGCATAAAACAATTCAAGTTCCAGCTCATCATTCTAACAAAAATTTAATGAACTTAGATGTGTAACACTTTGTTAATACATACATTTTGTTGTAATTTTTCACCGATGAGCGCAAACGCCAACGTCCCGAACAAATATGCAGAAGCATGGAAAGCCAGTGTAATGAATACATACAATTGATCGTTGTCTTGTACAGTAAGGGCACTTATTGACAAAAACTGAGAACAACTCCCGAGTATGTCAATTGAAGCATTATTGGCCATTTATAGATATCATCAATTTCCCGCCATAATCTAAACTAAAACATATATGTGTTTAATAATATCATACTTTTCAATATGTTTGCTGACTTGAACTACGTAAACTAACTTCGAATAACGACTTTTCTCAAATTTACTCTCATTTAGTGAACGCAGAATAAGTGTCATTTCAGTGTAATGAAACTGTACAAAATTAAATGATTGTATCAACATTAGAATACAATTTAGTGGACAACACAACAGATACATTATTACCAAGCAAAAGAATATGTTAATACAATACTTATACGAAGCGTCGTAGACATCAATAGGAAATACCTAAAAACAAAAATATATCATACATTAAAATCAATAAGAAATTATAGAATAATAAATCTGATTACACAAGGTAATGCTAATCCACACGAATATTTATCTTTTCCGTCGCAATTTTCCGCAGCTCTCAATAACAAGTGAAGCACAAGAATGCACGCAATTAAAATATATAAAAATTTCGTAAATAAATTGTAATTAACTACATATTTCTGCCATTTTGCGTTGGTAGTAATCAAATATTGAGTTTTATTAAATTGTTCAAAAACAATTCGCATCTTGTGTGAGAAATAATACATGAAATAAGTGACACTTATTCCTAAGTGGAATGATGCAATAAATGATAAATCAAACAGAAATTCCGTATATCTTTCATAATCTAAAACAGGCATCAGAAGGTTTTTGTTATAAAATTAATGTTTAAAAACTTACAAATCATGCGCAAAGCGTGTTTAAATGACCATAGGAATAATTGACTGCTTCCAATGATATTTAATAAAATTAGTAAAACATTTTCCTTATAATTATTGCGTAGCCAATAAATTTTAGCAAAAACTTCGTACAAAAACGAAGCATCTTTAAATTTTTGGGGATGACACATCGGGATTGTTTCATGATTACTAATGGTCTAATAAAACTACAAATACATATATATACAGAAGTTTTACGAGGGTAGTTTTAATGAGAACAATTTGAAATAAAATATTAAAACATTACCTTTATTTTTCTTCGAGTAGGTACATCAACCAAATTAGTATTGACTCGAGGTGATGAATGTTACAAATTATTCACAAACATAATGTCTTAAAGTATTAACAACGAGATAACTCGAAAACATAAAATTCTCTTCTTCTTCTATTTTTGAGACGTATGTCAAATATAATTTTAATACTGTGATATTTAATGTTATAAAAATATTTTTAGATGAAAATTTTACTGAAATGGCATATGCTTTCTCAATTTTGGCCTCAGCAGGGTTTGGATGCTGTATAGTGTTTCATATTAAATTTCTAGTGATGCGTCATGTACGAAACTTCTATAATATGATGTTAAACAATCCATATCTGGATATCTATATATATAAAAGAAAGTCGTGTTAGTTACCTTGCTTAGAACTAAAGAACGGCTAAACCAATTTAGCTAAAAATTGGTGGAGAGGTAGCTTAGGGCCATGAGAAGGTAATGGGATACTTTTGAAGTGAAAACTTTTCTAAAAAGGCACTAAACGACACTAATAAGAGACAAACATATTTGCGTATGTGGATTATCTTGCGGGAGAATAAGAGAACTCAAATACAAAGTTTTCTATTATCCCCGTCTCCTCTTTGTGCGATGCTTCGTAGCTTCCCTCCTCAGCATAGACGTGTGTATGTGTGTACGTGTGAGTTGAAGTTGACCGGTTGATGTTTTTGTTTGGAGGAGGTTACTAGGATACTTTTGAAGTGAAAACTCCTTTAGAGAACACTAAACGACACTAAAAGGAAACAAACATATTCGCTTATATGGTTTAGCCTACGGGAAAAAGAGCACACAAATATAATGTTTTTATCTCCGTCTCCCCTTTGTGCGATTCGTAGGGTCCCCTAAGCATAGACGTGCGTGGGTTTGTACGTGTTGGTTGAAGTTGCCCGGTTGATGTGTTTGTTTGAATAAGACTTACCTAGTAAGTGTAGGATACTTTTTAATACTTTTGAAATGAAAACTTCTTTGGAAGATACTAAACGAGTTTTCTCCGTCTCTTCTTTGTGCGATGCTTCGTTGCTTCCTATGCAGCGACCAAAACGAATAAATCTTATCCGACAAAACCGTAATGCAACTAGGATTCGAAGGATTGCGAATGAAAGGACTGAAGAAGAACAAGAAATTGCACGTGAAAAGCGAGGCGGAACAAAGTTTGCCGGGTCAGCTAGTTAATAATAAGTCTTGGTGTACTGAACGTATGCGAGTTGAGAAAGTAGGTACTTCAAATCGTGCATGTTTTGATTGTTCTCTCGTTTTCAATTGGATTCATATTGGTAGTGTTACAAGAATGTGACAATCATGACAATCTTCATATATGTGGATATTTAATTCCCACGGTACCTATATTTATTTAAATAGTATTTTTTGTATAAAATAATCATAATAATTTCATTTAGTATTACTTTGTTGAGTTACCTATGGCTTGTCGGTTTTTAATAAAGTGCTTGTTATGCTTTAATGGGAATATATGTAGTTGTACCTATATTGAATGGGTTTGCATTAATGGTAACAATTCTTCTTTATCTACGTGTTGCATTCAATGAAGTAATCAAAACTTTACGAAGTCTAAAATAGGGAGGGTGGGGCAAAGTGGGCCCCAAAAGCGAAAAAAGGGAATTTGTTTACTTTTTTACTCGTTACACTATTTTTACATCCTTGTTCAGTATTCAATATTAATAAGACGTGTCTATCAAAATAAAAAAATCAGAATATGGGGCAAAGTGGGCCCCACTCATAAAAATTAGGCTCTTACCTTTGTATCAATTTTTGCTTATATTATTTTCTTTTTTATTTCTTACTTCAATTTGTTGTGGATAAGTTGTTCTTGCAACTTCATCTTATATATCAAAAATTTTAGGGGCCCACTTTGACCCTCAATTTTTAAGCCTCCTGAATTTCAGGGGCCCACTTTACCCCAGGGGCCCACTTTGCCCCCTTCCCTATATTATATGCATTACTGGAGTATTCGACATCAGAAACTTGTAGATGTCTATAAACAACAAATATAATTTACAAGTTGAGAATCTAGTATGGTAGTACAGTCATTTGGTGCTAAAAAACGTGGTTGCTTGGAAAATAGTGCGGGATTGTTGAAAATTGGTATTCATATAGATTTCGATGTGCTCTTTACGAATTTAAACTTTGCCACCTCGTATCTTGTTCGCTCGCGCCATCATCTTGGAAAAATGGTGTCTAAGAACAGTTTTTTGACCATATCTCCTTTCCGACTCATTTTACGATAAACAAACCTATATAATAAATTAAACTAGAGAAAATTTCCTATAATTTATGTAAGTACCTTTTTCTTGTAAAATTAGTAGTTTTAGCGTACGGGCGCCGCAAAGTCTACTTCAACATTCGTTTTTGTCAAAAACTCATTTCCATGTCATCATGACTGCTATTTTTGCTTGCTATGATTTGAGGGTGCTCCTGCTTCTCCTTGCTTGTTTGAAAGTTTCGCCGGCCGAGTTTACTTTTGTTTTATTATTTCTTCATTGAGTCATTATTACATATTTATCGTTCTGAATAGTCGTGTTGTTTGCAGTTTTGAAGCCATGGTTGATAACGTAAATTGTTTTATTTGTAAAACTCCATTGCAAGATAGTGAAGTGATTGAAGTGAAAGAAAAAGGATTGGAGACCTTTTGTAAGTCAAGCGATAAAAGAAAGGATAATAAGGGTAAACTTTTAGAGGGATTGAGATCGGTAGTTGTTCACGAGATATGTCGAAAACGATATAATAATGAGAAATTGATCATTGCGTATAAAAAGGAAGTGTTGTCACGACTTCTCAACCTCAACTGCGATCCACGTGCCCAACATTCTCATTTAAAGATCATTGTTTTTTGTGCACTGCTGAAATAACAGCAGAATTTATAGCGAAACAAAAACGGATACGTTTGAGTGATCGAAATATTGTGTATAGCGTACATAAATTATCGATGAAAAACACTATTTCAGAACGTCTTAGAGCACGTAATGATGATTGGGGTAGAACAATTGTTGAATGTCTCAACCGTGTTTATAATTTGGTCGCAGCCAATGCACAGTATCACAATTCGTGCAGGTTATCGGCGAAGATGTAGATCTTCTTATTCTTTTAACGGCGCTATCAATGTGTTTAAACATATATTTGCTAAAACCAGAAAAAGAAAAAAATTTGCAAAAGATCTATTCAACCAAAAGCATCATCGATCAAACAGCGGCAGATCACATATTATTCTTACACGCTTTTAGTGGCTGTGATACAACATCTGCAATCTTTCATCAAGGAAAATTAAAATTTATTAATGTACTCCGCAAAATCCAGATTTAAACGAAGTTATCCAGGTATTTAAAACCCAAAGGCTGGCTTCCTTCTTAAATTATACAGATACAGTGATGTGAAAACAATGTAAAATATGTCTTTAAACATCTATAGATATGCCAGCTTCGATACAATACATGATAAGTCAAACAGCATTACCTTTCGTAATCTAAAACAGACATCACAATGTTTTTGTAAACAAAATATGTGTTTAAACTTACGTAGCATGAGCAACGCGTGATTTGCCGGCCATTAGAAACAATTGACTGCATCCAATAATCACTACATAGTATAAAGTAAAGTCGCTTTTTTTTCCGGTCCCTTTGTATGCTTAAATCTTTGAAACTACGCAACGAATTTTGATGCGGTTTTTTACTTCCGTGCGAAGCCGGGGCGGGTCGCTAGTATTTAATAAAATTAATAAAACATTTTTCTTATAACTATTGCGTAGCAAATAAACTTTAGTGAAAACTATGTACAAAAACGTAGAATATGTAAATTTTGTGGTTTGTGACGTGGAGCTAGCTCCATGATTCTTATTGGTATGATAAAACCGAAAATTCATATAATTCTGAAGCTTAATGTAGGTATATAATGTTAATGCGTAGAAATTAAACAAAATATTAAAACGTTCCCGCTATCTATGTACACGCGTCTGCGATGCGCAAATGCGCAGGCGAAAGTTCATCTCCGTGACTAAAGCTCGTGACTAAAGTGCTTTTGTCACTGCCCGGGCCGTCCGGTTTTAAAGTATCACTTTTTATGTCAAAAAGCATGGAAAAACTGACGCTTTATAGGTGCAAGTAGAAAAAATATTTTTAAGTTGATCCCTTCTTTTGCACCCTTCAAGTTACATCAAACTTCACCCAATTACCCGTAGAGTTTGTTAATCTAAACATTTTCTAAATAATTAATCTAAATCGATCTAGCCATTTTGGGGCTCATAAATTACTCATCCATTTTGATCACTGCATTATATACTATGAAGTTCCGCAGAAAAAATGTTTAAGTGTGTATTTTCTGCAGTCGATTACGATATAACATTGTCAACGAATACATTGAATTGAAGACCTAAACTCAAACACAAAATAATTATTCAATTATTAATTTTGATACTTTCTAACCTTTAATGCTATTTGATTTGAATGAGTCATAAAGTTGCCTATATGTAGAACAATTGGATGTTTGAATTTCATATGGAAAAAAATAATCGCTTTCGTTAATTTACTGTCTCCATCCCATGGTATAGCATAAAACAATTCAAGTTCCAGCTCATCATTCTAACAAAAATTTAATGAACTTAGATGTGTAACACTTTGTTAATACATACATTTTGTTGTAATTTTTCACCGATGAGCGCAAACGCCAAGGTTGCGAACAAATATGCAGAAGCATGGAACGCTAGTATAATGAATACATACAATTGATCGTGGTCTTCTACAGTAAGGGCACTTATTGACAAAAAACTAAGAACAACTCCCGAGTATATCAATTGAAGCATAATTGGCCATTTATATATATCATCAATTTCCTGCCATAAGCTAAAACAATAAATCGCACCAAAACATTTTTAAATTTTTTTAAACTTTTAAAAGTTTCCTACTTTTCAATATGTTTGCTGACTTGTACTACGTAAACTAATTTCGAATAACGCTTTTTCTCATTTTTGATCTTCTTTAGTGTACGTAGAATAAGTATCATTTCAATGTAATGAAACTGAACAAAATTAAATGATTGCATCAACATTAGAATACAATTTAGTGGACAACACAACAGATACATTATTACAACCATAAGAAATATGTTAATAAAATCCTTATATGGAGCTTCGTACACATCAATAGGAAATACCTAAAAACAAAAATATATCATACATCAAGATCAATAAGAAATTATAGGATATTAATTCTGATTACGCATGGTATTGCCAATCCACACGAATGTTTATCTTTTTCTTCACAATTTTCCACAGCTCTCAATAACAAGTGAAGCACAAGAATGCACGCAATTAAAATATATAAAAGTCTCGTAAATAAACTGTAATTAACTACATATTTCTGCCATTTTGCGTTGGTAGTAATCAAATACCGGGTGTTATCAAATTGTTCAAAAACAATTCGCATCTTGTGTGAGAAATAATACAAGAAATAAGTGACACTTATTCCAAAGTTGAATGATGCAATAAATGATAAGTCAAACAGAAATTCAGTATATCTTTCATAATCTAAAACAGATATCAAATTGTTTTTATAAACAAAATATTTGCTTAAACTTACAAATCATGCGCAAAGCGTGATTAAATGACCACAGAAATAATTGACTGCATCCAAAAATATTTAATAAAATTAATAAAACATTTTTGGTATAATTATTGCGTAGCCAATAAATTTTAGCAAAAACTTGGTACAAAAACGAAGCATCTTTAAATTTTTTGGGGATGACACATCGGGATTGTTTCATGATTACTAATGATCTAATAAAAACTACAAATTCATATAATTCCGAAGTTTTACGAGGATAGTTTTAATGAGTAGAATTTGGAATAAAATATTAAAACATTACCTTTATTTTTGTTCGAGTAGGTACATCAACCATTGACTCGAGGTGATGAATGTTACAAATTATTCACAAAATTATTCTAACATAATGTCTCAAAGTATTAACAACGAGATAACTCGAAAACATAAAATTGTAACGCTATATTCCTTTCCATTATTCAAACGAATGCATTTATTATACTGGCATGAACATAGTTTTGGAAGAAATATGATTCTTAATCTTATATTCATTTTCTTTTGTTTACTATTACTAGGTCCAATTAATTATCTTCTATTTTTGAGACGTATTTTAATACTGTGATATTTAATGTTATAAAAATATTTTTAGATGAAAATTTTGCTTAAATGGCTTATGCTTTCTCAATTTTGGCCTCAGCAGGGTTTGGATGTTGTATTTCATATTAAATTTCTAGTGATGCGTCATGTACGAAACTTCTTTAATATGATGTTAAACAATCCATATCTGGAAATTAATAATAAGTCTTGGTGTACTGAACGTATGCGAGTTGAGAAAGTAGGTACTTCAAATCGTGCATGTTTTGATTGTTCTCTCGTTTTCAATTGGATTCATATTGGTAGTGTTACAAGAATGTGACAATCATGACAATCTTCATATATGTGGATATTTAATTCCCACGGTATATTTATTTAATTAGTATTATAAATACAGTCTAATTACATATAATAATTTTGTTTAGTATTACTTTGTTGAGTTACCTATGACTTGTCGTTTTATATTAAATGCGTGTTATGCCTTAATGGGAATATATGTAGTTGAATGGGTTTGCATTAATGGTAACAATTCTTCTTTATCTACGTGTTGCATTCAATGAAGTAATCAAAACTTTACGAAGTCTAAAATATATGCATTACTGGAGTATTCGACATCAGAAACTTGTAGATGTCTATAAACAACAAATATATATTTATATGTTGAGAATATTGTAATGTGTTATATTTGTTGATAATTTTATATGTGAATTTTGTAGGATTTGGTCTGAATTCACACATTGTTATAAATGGATGTTGCTTTTTCAATTTGTTGCTGGCAGTTTCATCTTGGGAATACTCTTAATTAGCGTTATCACCGTACGTATCATTTATATATAAATTAAATAGCTAATTTATTAGTAATTTTATTGTTTTTATGTATGAATTACCAAAATTTGATGGGTAACACTCGCATAATTCAATAATACTGAGATGTTCTAACTGCAAAATTCCTCTTGTTGATGCATTTGAATTCAAATAACACTGTGGAATTGCCAATTGGCACTTACTATGTTTATTCAAATGCGGTTGTATTTGATGTATGATGGATTATCTGTAAATACTTGTTAGGATATGTGTAATATTGTGATTTATTTGTAGATTTATAAAATGGCTTATTCTGTTGTGATGATGTATGTAAATCAATAGAAATAAGAAATAATATCATGCGCTAAGAGAGTAGATATAAAATTGGTTGTTTGACTTCAAATTACAGTTAACAGGGGGCGCTACCTACACGATTTTTACATTTTGTACTCATAAAGTTTCGCAAACACCAACAAGATGCAGAGATTAGTATGTTCTACAATGCTGACAAGTAATTAATATTGTATAAAAATCATGAACAAGAATTACACAATTAAATATTAAACCGGTACTTATAACTCCATTAGTTAATATTGGAAGACTTTTTTGTTGAATGAGAAATGGCATTCGTGATTGTAATGGATGTAGGCGGAAAATTGAATTTTAGATTTGATTACTATTTAGATAGGTATATTTTCATGCATTATATTATAACACCACAAACAAGCAAATGTTTCGAAACCCTGGTCTAGTCAAAGCTTTTAAAGGTGTCCGCTAGGAGTCGCTTAATGCGCCTAAAATTGTGCTCTATAGTTGTCTGCTGTGCGCAAGTCATGCCAGTGGTGTCACTCGTGGCTGGATCGATAGCCTCTGTCTTGTCTGGTCTTGTCTGTCGCAGTGGGTTCGTGTGTTCGTGCTCGCGCATTCATCCTGCAGTGGCCGTGCTAACCGCGCTCCTGCATTGTGCGCATCCATTGACAATCCATTATATCAAATATCATTCGTTCGTACTATGATAGTGTCGATAGTGTAAATACGCACGCAGATACAGTGAATCAACCGTAGTCATCATCTGTGGTCATCATGGGGTCGCTATTTCGCAGTGCGGAGATGACTCTCTGCCAGCTCTTCTTGCAGAGCGAAGCAGCATACGCTTGCGTGTCGGAACTGGGCGAGCTGGGTCTGGTACAATTCCGCGACGTACGTACATTCTTTTCACTTCACGGCGATACTGGTATATTTAGGTTTACATAATTTGGTTTCACTTTGCAGTTGAATCCGGACGTCAATGCCTTCCAACGCAAGTTCGTCAACGAGGTTCGTCGCTGCGATGAAATGGAACGCAAACTGCGTTACCTCGAGAAGGAGATTAAGAAGGACGGTATTCCTATGCTCGATACCGGTGAGAGCCCCGAGGCGCCTCAACCTAGAGAAATGATTGATCTTGAGGTAAAATATATGCCAAACTATAGAATTAATCATTTATTTTGCAATTCTCTTCATTTTTGTTCTTTAGGCTACATTTGAGAAGCTAGAAAATGAGTTGCGTGAAGTAAATCAGAATGCCGAGGCGCTCAAACGCAACTTCCTGGAGCTCACTGAACTCAAACAGATCCTGCGTAAGACTCAAGTCTTCTTCGACGAGGTTAGTACATAAATCTCCACAAATATTTCGAATATGATTAAATCTTACGCAGATTGAAGGGCTAATTTGAGAGTAATTCAGCATGTCAGGAATGAGACTAATCAATATTTTAATAGCACATTCTGGATTATAAGCGCATCCCCGAAATGCAAATGCATCTCTTAATCAATTTAATATCCGATCACGCCAACAATTAATGAATAATTATTAACGCACAATAACCAGTAACAATCAAGTTATAGCATAACTATAATTGGAATGAATGCAGGGTGCATCGTCGCAACAACGACGTCGATCGATTGTCCCGGACTTGTTTACGTTTTTGTAAGTGCAACAACCAAGCAACAAGTGCGCCGGTTTCAACTCCGGTTTTAAAGTTTGTCGTTTGCACGACCAATAATACTTATTGATCTAACAAATGATCGTCTCAATTAACATATTATTATACTATTAAATTAGCGTGTTTTAGCGTGTGTTATCGTTGTTTACTGAGTGCATTAATAATTATTGCGTTGATTGTCATCATGTTGAGTACCGAGTCGAAATTTCGATTTTATTCTGCATGCCAATTTGCTAGAAGCTTTGATTAAGGTGCTTAAAGTCAAATAATTGAAAATTGAAAATATTGTGCAAGTTTTGGGAAGGTTTTAAAGGGAATTGATTGTATATTGTTGACCTTAAAGAAGATCAACGGGTAAGAGTATTCTTATTAATATGGAATGATGGAAAATGGAGAAACAAGGAACTTGCATGCCGTGTGCCTGGCCTCATTGTTGCGGCTGTTTATTTCCGACTTGATTCATTCTGCCCCCAGCGTGTTAGCAAGTCAAATCATGATCATTGTTAAACAATAATAGGAAAGTGTCTATTACTCGCCTCAAAGTGGAGGAAAAAGTGTTTTGTTGCGTGTGTGAGTGTGTTTTTATAAAAATGTTCTAGATCAGCCTGGAGTCTACACAATTCGCCCAAATTGCCCTAAATATTTATTAATTCTAGCTAGTTATAGGGAAATCTCTCCTGATAATCACTTTATCCATAATTATTTTGAGTATTTTGCTTTTGGTTTAGTTTGGTTTTGGTTTTTGGATCTTCTAATTACTTTTCTATGCTTATTATCATATTTTTAAACGGTTATAAACGAAAGGACGAATTCGAAGCGTGGTGTTTGTATAATGTAGATGTGAATGTCATGCCCATGAAAATTTCATGAGCTTTGTGTGTTTGCGTTTGTAACGTGCGCGCGCATTCATGGTTGTTTCAAGTTATTTATTGTCATTTGTCGACGTACATTTTTTACGCTTATCTTACATCAGCTACGATTAGCTACTGTTTTCTTCACATTAACAAATCATTATCAGTGTAGAAATTCGTATATAATTAGTATGAGTTAAAAACTTTAATTTTACCTAAAAATATCTTCTAAATTTTCATTTCAACGATTGTTACAAACATATTCAGTAATTTTAGTATAAAATTAGCACAAACTATGGTTTTTACCAATAATTAATCATAATCAAATTTGGTTTATAGTTTTTGAAGAGAAAAACCTAAATATTTATTCTAACTTCAATAGTTTTTCAGTTATTTCCAAATAACTAACAGTAAACACTCCAGTTTAAAACAATTATACTACACTTCTACCTTAATCAGTCTGTATGAATCGATTGCTTAGTTTGCAGTCTGATTGTAACATTGGAAAGTTCTACCAAGTGACCGCAATTAAAATGCTTAACTCGCGCTTAGCACTAAACGCCAAACGAAAAATGTAATACGCACGTGACGCCCGATTGCGTGTCATTCAAATCGCGAATGTGATTAATAAACTCGGACATATTAGTCTCGACCGGGTTTTTTTTATCTTTTGTTTGTCATAACATACTTGTAACGAAAGTTAAAGTTAGCTTTGGGAATTTTGACAAACAGCATCAATTAGCAGCGATTTTTGAGTGTGAATTTTGCTATTTGTCTGTCTTTTGTCATAATTATTATTGAGCAAATTCGGCACGAACTACAATACCGTGGCTGTAAATTATAAACCTCGTGACATGCGTGACTAATTCGACTTGCGTGGTTTTTTTTGTTGCTTCAAACACAATTACGAAAAAATTCCGTGTCTTAAAAAACTTTTGCCTGCGTATAAGATTAATATCACGTTCTTATCTTCGTGGATTATACTATTATACCGGTCATAAACTAAACTAGGCGCTTTGGAAGCCCATTTTTCGTCAAACTGATTTTTGTGCGCGGCTTAACTAAAGCAATAAAGCAATTTACGTGATCGATTTCACGTGAGTTGTGTGCTTGCGTCAGCAAGGGATCAATATAATAAATTAATTCCCGGCTGGATCAATGTTTAAACTCGTGCCGTGTTCAAATAATATGTTATTAGATAATCTTTCAATTTACAAACGTACGTGCTGGATCACCGCAAAAAAAGAGACGTTAGAATTGTGTTGTTCAGGCGTTTACTTCGAATTCTTTAATGAGCAATAAAAATAAACGCTGTGAATACCAGTATTGATTTGGATTACATCATCATCATTGCATCGCAACATTCGAAGCCTTTATTTATAACAATTGACTGCAGCTCACTAACATTATGCTTATTTTGCTTTAATTATTTATTTCTTGTTTTAGCAATTGTATAAGTTGATTTGTTTTTACATTGTTTGAACAATTAATTTATATTCTACCCATTTTTAACACTCTCTGTTAATTTTCACTCCAGTACCGCTTAAATTTATCTCAAGAAAAAAATTATTCTGGTTTTGGTTACACATTATTACCCATTCCTATCCTTTAAAAGTTTTTGAAAGAATTTAAAGTTTTATTGATACGCGAGACAAAAAAAAAAACGAGGGTAGTTCCTAGTGGGTAGTTTAGGTATTTTTGTGGGCATTGTGTGTCGCCAGGCTGAACGTGTTGGGTCTGCTCAGATGGCCGATCCGTCGCGGGAAGAGGAGCAGGTGACCCTGCTGGGCGAGGAGGGTTTGCGTGCCGGCGGACAGGCGCTCAAGCTCGGGTAAACCATCAATTTATTTCACTTTCAGAAATGGAAAAGCTAAGGCAATTCAGCGCGTATCTATAAATATCATTCCTGCCTTTCTCAATCAATTCAATGCAATAGTTTGAAATTTAATCCTCAACCACTTCAATTGTAAATACTCCCCCTGAAAATATCATTGTTGTGGTTCTTACAGCACTTTGAGATGATTGTGGCGGATCCCGGCAGCTTTCGATCGACGTTAAGGCAAGCCAACGCGTGGTGTGACTTAAAAATATCTATATTGAGTGTGTTGCCGAAATTAGCGTTTAGCACTGGTAGTAGAAAATTAATACTGCTGCAGGGTGTCGCTTCTAAACACCGAAAAAAAAAGTCGACGCAATTTTACGGCCTGTGCGAGCGCGATAAACAGCGACAGGCGCATTACGTAACGCAAATGTTTGCAAATATTTAGATTAGCGTAACACTCCCTAGGTGTATGTTACACATGCTAATGTCTACGATATGATATCGGGTACTATCAGCGCGATGATAGTTTTCGGTTGTCGAATCGGCGGAATGTTAAATTGGATGCGTAATAAAAATTCATAGTGGCGGCACTTTAGAATTATTAAATGTCTAACATGTAGATATTACGTATATTGTCAACGGCAAAGTGATAACATTTAACAGCTTGATTCAAGGTTGATTAAATAACGAATACGGAAAGTCTGAAATTTCTAAGCGAAAATTCACGCAAATATTTACAAATGAAGCATGTTATTTGTACCTAGGACTTTTTTGTAATAGTTTGGCTTGGAACGTTTTAGATTGTTTGAATTTTCGAAACGAAGCGAAATATTCGCATAATTTTTTTTGTTGACAGTAATGATTACGCCAGGTGAAGCAATGAAACTTTTATATTGTTTGTTTTATGAATTTTAAGGTTTTGAGAACTTAAAATTTCACTTCTACGTTAAACTAGTTTCATTTGCTTATCGTGGATATTAATTTAGGTTTATTATGTGTGTGATTGTGATTGTGTGAATTTCTAACACTTTTTATTGTGTAGTTTTGTTTGTAAATTTTCTTACAATAACCAAACTAAACTTTGCTTGCTAACCAGCTATATCAAATAACAAAGTAAAAGATACTAATGATGATTAATTGAAATTTGATTAACACAATGTTGGTTTTGGCGTGTTTCTGTTTATTTTGATGTCATTCTTTACCTAAATCTCATAATTCAGCCTTATTTTGATGATTTGTTCTGTATTTTTTATTGTTGTTTGTTTAATTTTGTATAATTTGTTTATGTTGTTGAGTGTGTGTGTTTTTTTTTATTTGCTAATGTGTTGTGTTGTGGCAGCACGAAGGTGGTGTAAATCCCACCGAGTCTATGACCAGGGCCCTCATTAGCGACGACTCGATTGCCCGACAAGGCGCCCTTGGCCCCGTGCAACTCGGGTACGTATCTCACGCCCAAAACGCCAAAAATCAAAATGCAGCACTATACGCGTTATCATTATGATTTTGTATAGCTCAAGTTTCGTCACTATTAGTAATCATAACCATTAACATTATCTATTTATCTATGCATATTTCTTTCTTTATCTTCCATTTATTACTAACTGCATTGAGTTTGTTTCGCAACTTAGTTTAGCATTTAGCGAAATCATTATCATTTTCTAAAAGCTCATCCACTCAATCAATGAGTTGCCGATTAACGACTACTACTATGTTTGTTTTTTGAACAGTTTTCCGGAAAAAGCTATTGATCCCGAAGATTTTCTTCCATGGTCAGTAATATTCGAATATTAAATGTTGTTTAATGTTTCGATAAGTCACTACTCTCTTTTATTTAATGATTGTATTTGTTTTCTAAGTTTGGAGCTATATAGACGTAGTAGCGTAGAGAGAGAGCACTGCGAACTTTTCAGGGACAATTTAATATCGTTTCGATATTGGGTGTAATTATCGTACAGATCACAGGATGCACCGAATTGTATCTAAATTTAGACTTCTGCTATCAGCACACACAATGCTACTTTTAGACGTGCACCACACACTAATTGCACGATTGTGAATGCTTTTCATGTTGTTGCTTATTTTTGTTTCTTGTTTTTGCTTTGTGTGATTATTTATAATTTAACAATTTTTTGAGTTTTTTATGAGTCCATGTTGCGTTTTGAGCGAGGTGCAATTAACTTCAATTCGATAGGATATTGTTTTCAAAATAAACCAGCAATAAATCGATTAATCGAGTTATTCGTGCCGAAAACGTGTTTCAATGTGTAGGGAAGGTTGGCCAAGTCGTACCTCTAAAATACAATTTGCCCTAGATTGAAAGTTTTGCAACATAATGTCAGTTTTTCGACATATTTACCTGCTTTAGTTAATATAGATTTAATTCGTATGAGAAAAATTATTCAGAAATGTTTATATTTTTGTAAAACATCGATTTAACAAAATGTGTGAACGGTACGACTTAACAAACCGGTACCCTAAGTCGTACCTTCGATACCCTAAGTCGTACCTATGCCAAAGAAATAGCAAAATAAGAATATATATTAGTTTAATAATAATGTATTTATTTGCAAGGTATTTTATACTCGTTTGGACACCAAAACACATTTGTCATGCATCCAAATTTTGCATTTGAGGCGCTGAATCATACTATCTTCCCTATTCTCATCACGCTAGTAAAGTATCTTCGGCGCGCAACCGTAGCGCCGCCTCGTGGCGCAGCTGAAACCTTGAGTCCCATATGTTCTATAGGTACGACTTAAAAAGCGCAAAGGGGTACGAGTTAGCAAACATGTGCTTCCCGCTTAAAACAACCTTAAACAATATATCAGAAGGAATATTTAACAAAATCCATGTAGAAAACAATACATGGATAGATGTATATCCAATATTTAACATGCAACACATATTTAGTGGTGTTTTTCTCACCACCAATGCTTTCAAGCTCCACGAGAAATTGGATGAGCACGAGGAGCAAAACTATTTTTGCGCATAACTTCTCAATTCTGATTCGGCGGGAACTGATTAAAGAATATGCTTCTAGTATGATTTCATGCTGTCCGAATACAGCATTTTAAGTTGCATAAAGTGCCTTCAAGTTAGAGAAAAGACCGAGGTACGACTTACGTGACGGTACGACTTAAGCGACTTTCCCCTACATATTATAATCCCGATGATTTATTAATATTTGAATGATAATAAATAATACAATAACAAAGTGCTGATAAGACCACATCCGGAAATCGCATTTATATTAATATAAAATTGTAACTATCCGAAAGATGATAACAAAACAAATGCGATTTTCATACCTAACATTAAAAAAAATCAAATGACTAAAATCCTGTGTTGGGTTGATGATTTTGCCTGCATTAATATTTCTTTCAGAAATTGTTAAATTATAACGTCAACTGCAATTCTCTAATTTTTTATTAATTTTTGGTTAATGTATGCAACGGAATTGATAACTGAATGTCTTAACTTTTTCCGTTTTAATCTTTTTTTAAATTCGTAAAGTTTAGTAGCCAATCGCCGATTCAGTTTTGCGCTTGCTACTCTACTTTGATTCATGTCTGTGTAAAAATTAATAATTGTATTTGTGAGTTTAGTTTTGTCGCCGGCGTGATTCTTCGTGAACGCATCCCGGCTTTCGAACGTATGTTATGGCGCGCTTGTCGTGGCAACGTGTTTCTTCGCCAGGCTGAAATCGAAACACCATTGGAAGATCCATCAAGTGTAAATATTATTTTACTGTATTTTACAGTGAACAGAAATTTATAGGCGTATTTGCAGGGTGACCAAGTATTCAAGTCGGTGTTCATCATCTTCTTCCAAGGTGACCAATTGAAAACGCGCGTGAAAAAGATCTGTGAAGGATTCCGCGCCACGCTGTACCCATGCCCCGAGGCGCCTGCTGATCGCCGTGAAATGGCGATGGGTGTTATGACTCGCATTGAAGATCTGAACACTGTTCTTGGGCAGACACAGGATCATCGCCATCGTGTGCTCGTGGCAGCCGCTAAGAACATCAAGAATTGGTTCGTCAAGGTTCGCAAGATTAAAGCGATTTATCACACGTTGAATTTGTTCAACTTGGACGTTACCCAGAAGTGTCTCATTGCTGAGTGTTGGGTACCTGTGTTGGATCTGGAGAATATTCAATTGGCCCTACGTCGTGGAACTGTGAGTTCTTTTTATTTTCAGGAGTTAGTTTTTATTATAAATTTTAATTGATATAGGAACGTAGTGGAAGTTCTGTGCCACCGATTTTGAACCGAATGGAAACCTGTGAGGACCCACCGACTTATAACCACACCAATAAGTTTACAGCGGGTTTCCAAGCGTTGATCGACTCTTACGGTATTGCTTCTTACCGCGAAATGAACCCAGCTCCTTATACAATCATTACGTTCCCCTTCTTATTCGCTGTAATGTTTGGTGATTTTGGTCACGGTGCACTCATGGCTATGTTTGGCGGTTGGATGATTCTCAAAGAGAAGCCACTCGCCGCCAAGAAAGTCGACAGTGAGATCTGGAATATATTCTTCGGCGGTCGATATATTATCTTCCTCATGGGCGTATTTTCGATGTACACCGGTCTGATCTACAACGACGTCTTCTCGAAGAGCATGAATATCTTCGGCTCCAAGTGGCAGGTGGTCACTAATATGACTGGCGCTCATATTTTGGCGCATGAAGCCACTATGACGCTCAATCCTGCTTCGAGTGCATACGCGCAGTATCCGTATCCATTCGGGCTGGATCCCGTCTGGCAGCTCGCTAAGAATAAGATCATCTTCCAGAACGCGTATAAGATGAAGATCTCGATCATTCTGGGCATTTGTCACATGTTGTTTGGTGTCAGCATGTCGCTGTGGAACAACTTGTACTTCAAGAACAAACTGGACATCATCTTTCAGTTCGTTCCACAGGTGATCTTCTTGTGCTTCTTGTTCTTGTACATGGTGTTGTTGATGTTTATCAAGTGGGTAACATACTTTCCAACTGATGATTGTGAGTATTCATATTTATTAACAAAATGAACAACATAGAACCTATTTTTGTAAAAATTTCCAGTGGATCTTGTAAAATGGAGTCCGCATTGCGCGCCGTCCATCTTGATTACATTCATCAACATGGTGTTGTTCAAGGAGACCAAAGTAGACAAGGTGTGCGACCCCACGATGTACGCAGGTCAAATCGGCCTCCAGAAATTGCTCGTTGTATGCGCGATGTTGTGTATTCCGTGGATGTTACTCGCCAAACCCATTCATATTATGCGCGCCGCGCAGAGGAACAACTTTTCGGTCTCGCACCAGCAGATGCAATCGGCCACTGAGAATGGCGACGCCGAGCAGCCGATGCAGAATAATACTCAGGAGGTGGCCAAGGGTGGTGGTCACGACAGCGAAGAGATGTCGGAGATGTTTATCCACCAGGGTATCCATACCATCGAATATGTACTTGGGTCGGTCTCGCACACTGCGTCTTATCTACGTTTGTGGGCTTTGTCTTTGGCTCATGCTCGTAAGTACACAGAGAAATAAAGACTTCTGCAGTGAATAAAACAATTAAAAATAATTTTCAGAGTTATCCGAAGTACTGTGGAACATGGTGTTGAGCAAGGGTCTTCAGGTGGATGACTGGAGAGGTGGTATCGCGCTGTACATTATTTTCAGCTTCTGGGCGTGTCTCACCGTCTCCATCTTGGTGTTGATGGAGGGTTTGTCCGCTTTCTTGCACACTTTGCGTTTGCATTGGTAAGTTTAGAATTCACAAACATTACAGCAGTGTTAAATAATTTGTACTGAATATTAGGGTGGAGTTCCAAAGCAAGTTCTACGCTGGTCTAGGTCATGCGTTCCAACCGTTCTCATTCGAAACCATCTTGGACACTGCTTCCACCGCTCCCGGCGAGGAGTAATTCCATTGAAGCATGGAAACGTAGTTTGAATATACCACAAGCTTAGAAAAAGTAACACCTTGCCGTTTGAAATAATTTAAATTAATTATTCTATATATTAATGAATTTAATAATAAATCATTAACCTATTAACAATTCATTCACGCGAATGAATATCAGATTATAGCCAAGCAGACATTAATTTATGTACTTAAGCAGTACACAATGGACGCTTTTGATGTTGTGAAAAAAATCAAATTAATTGAAAATATATGTGTAGCAAATGAAAATTTATAAAGTTATAATTAAATTTGATGATTTTTACAGGATCTCGCGAAGAAAGCATAACAATTACCGTGGTATATAAAATATTTAATGTTTGAAAAGGTAATAAAACTTCAACAAGACGCAGATATTTCCATAGATCAATGGTATTCCAAAGTTGCCAATTCGGCCGGCCGGAAAACGCCCTTTTCTGTGATAATACCAGCGATCAAATCTGCCGGGGTTACATCGAATGCAGGATTCCAACAGGCGATACCCTGCGCAGCAATCCGATGATCACCAACATGCGTCATCTCCCGGTCGGGCCTCTCTTCAATTTTGATATAATCACCGCTGACTATGTTCATATCGATGGACGTGAAGGGCGCAGCGATGTAGAAAGGCACGTTGTGGTGTTTTGCCAACACGGCGATTTGATAAGTGCCGATTTTATTCGCTGTGTCGCCATTTGAAGCAACCTAAGGGTGATTTTAAATTTTAGTTATTATTTTCAGCGTGTAATGTGAACAAAGTTCATTGTTACCCTATCAGCGCCGACAACAACAGCTGATATCCGCCGCTGCTTCATCAAAGTAGCCACCATGCTGTCGACAATCAGCGTCGCTGGAATTTTATCGTGAACTAGCTCATAGGCGGTCAACCGCGCGCCTTGATTGTACGGTCTTGTTTCCGTGCAGTAAACATGTTCTATTAGATAAACATACACAAACGCGATTAGAAAATCTATTCACTTGTTGGAAGGCCTTGTTTACCTAATTTTTGGGACGAATGTAATGTGCGAATTACGCCTAGAGCAGTACCATACCCAGCTGTGGCTAGTGATCCGGTATTACAATGTGTCAATATCCGGAATTGATTTTCTTTTGGATATTGACTGATGATTTCCTTCTCCCCATACATTCCAATTGCCTTGTTATCAGCAATATCCCTATCTAACATGTCTTCTATTCTTGTAATAAACCTTTGCTTCATTGTTTCTATGGTCAAACTTTCATCATCACACAGAATGTTAGCAAATTGAATTAAATCATCTGCAGCCAGTTTCATGTTAACTGCTGTAGGTCTAGAAGACACTAAATAATTCAGTCTGCCCTCAATTTCCTGTCGAAGAGCCTTTTTGCTCTCAAATTTTTCCTCATTTATTTGCACTGCTAAACTGAGACAACCAACAATTGCAATGGCAGGCGCACCTCGAACCTGCAACAACAATTTAAGTCCAGTATTCGTAAGAATCCCAATTTATGAATAAGAAGGAAAAAAACGTGGAACATACTTGCATTTTGTTTATAACTTTCCAGCCATCTTCGACGGTTTTCACCTGGAGATATTTGCATTGTGCGGGCAGTAGCAACTGGTCCAGTACTTCCAGGTTGCCCTTAGCGTACCTAATCGACTGCAGCGTCATATTCAGGCAAGTTTATTTAATTTCACAGTTCAATTAGCTATTCTTCTTATCTAAAACTACTTAACCTTTAAAATATCAAGACTTTCGCGCAGAAATTCAAAAGCTACCGAAAACAACTGAGTACATTATTTTAACTTGCATACTGAGTACGGTCGACGACAACGGACGACAGTTTGTCTCGATTACTCAACCGAGGTCGATTCAGATTAGGCTAAATGTTTAATTAAGATAATTTGTAGCACTTCACGGCATACTCATGTAAATGAAAAAATGTCTAAAATCAACACTCTACACGCGCAAGTTTAATGTTAAAGATATTAATTAAATATTCGAAAACGGAACATAGTCCAACTCATATTCTTGGAAAATTTTATTCTGTTGTTTATTCTACAATAATTTATTTAAGGAATCATAATTTACCCATTTAATTTATTTAGTAAAGTAACAAAACGTTTTAAACTTTCATATGCAAGCGCATATTTAAGTTTTTTACTATTTTTATTAAAAGTTATATAGGAATTACAGTTTCATTAACTTTATAAAGTCCTATGCATCAAATTCTGTTAAATTTTAAGTTTTATACAAGAGAAAATATGTTAAAACCCAAGGAAAATTATGATTTTAAAACTTGTCATTTGTTCTCATCCGCTGCTAATATGCGCGAGCGTCATTTAATACAACTCATGCAACGATAAGGCGTGCACGTCGACGTCCTCGAGATGATAAGGAAGTGCTCCTATTGGATTACGCGTGAGTAATAACATAAGAAGAATAATAAAGAGTGCGCGGGGCGCATAGTTGCATAATGTATCTCTTGCCGCTACCGTGGGACGAAATGAACATGAAATGAATCTAAAATCTAAATATATTTTTCAGGTTAGGCAGGCGCAGTGCGAGTCCCAGCGAATCCTTAAATTCCTATAAATACAATGACACAATAAAATATGCGGCACGTGTGATTTTTCTTATCCGGCGCAGTGTTAATTAGATCTATTGAAAATGGTAAATATTCTCATAAATAATAAGCAGTAAATAAAAGTCATGTTTAATTTACATTTGTGTTTTCCAGGCACTCCTTGGCGCTCAACTAGTTATCACTCTGGTGATGATCAGCATCATCCAGAAGCTCGGACCACATTTTTCCCTAGCCAGGTGGATATTGTGTTCAACTGGTTTAATAAGATATCTGTATCCAACCAATACAGAACTCCGGCAGGTTGCCAATGTGCCTAAGGATAAAGCAAAGAATAAGAAGGCAGGCAAGCAGAATGGAAGAATTGAGCACAAGGCAGAGACATTTCATATACCCAGGAATGTTGATGTTGAGCTGGAAACTGCCAAAGTATGCAGCCTAGATGTGATTCATCTCAGATATTATCCAGAGTATCAGTGGCTTGTTGATTTCTCTTTATATGCTGCTTTAGTGTATATTGTGACTGAGGTAAATTAAGTTTTCTTTAAGAATATGTCTTAAAAGCTACAAAATTTTCTAAAAAAAATTGTTTTGATTGTAGGTGTATCAAATATGGTTCCCCATCAAAGATGAAATTAACTTAAGCATGCTCTGGTGCTTTTTAGTAATTATTTTCTCAATGTATCCTTTTCAAATAAGTAATTTTATTACTTTAAACAACAAAAACTTTTCATATTTTTCTTAATGTTTAAATAGCAAAATTCTGTTATCATTAACCGTCCAATACTTTCGAGGTGAAGAATCGGTCGGCGAAAGGTCCACCTGCATCTGCATGGGCTTTACCTATTTATTAATATCGATGATGGTGTTGATTGTCGATGAGAACACCTTAGAAGTTGGTCTGGAAACGGCGTACACCAGCTTCAACAAAAGTGCGGCCATCTTCCTTGATCGACAAGGCTTAAGCTCAACGTAAATATATATACAGAGCTCTAAAAAGTTGCTTTTAATTATTAAATATTGTTTTTAGTGGTCCGGCATCGAAAATCGTCCTGAAATTCTTCATGGCTCTGTGGTGTGGACTTTTGGGCGCATTGTTAACTTTCCCTGGTCTGCGAATTGCCCGAATGCATTGGGATATGTTAAAGTAAAGAAATGAATGGTTAAATTAATAATTTCTATTAATTATTGATTTTTCTATAATTTAGATACTTTAGAGATCGTCGGGTGGTGCAGTTGTTATTAAATCTAAGTTTTGCTCTACCTTTCCTTCTGGTCATCGCGTGGATCAAACCAGTAAGTCGCAACTACTTGACTGTCAGGATATTCAGTGGAATGACAGAACCATTGTAAGTTTAACATTTGTACCAACAAATTTTCTTGCTAAAAATTTTTGTTTATTCAGATTGACTCCGGCCGCATTCGATACGCTCCGAATTGTCGCCATCGTTTTTACTTTCTTACTGAAGTTGTGTATTATGCCGTGGTATCTTCAAGCCTATCTCGATATGGCATATCATCGTGTTGAGGAACAAAAAAAGGAAGCTGGACGTATAACAAATGTTGACTTCCAGAAAAAAGTACAGTATAATATTTTATTTTTTCAACGTAGCGCATAAAATTACTTTTTGGCTATCTTATTAATTACAGATTGCTGCCGTATTTTACTACTTATGTGTTGTGACGATACAATACCTGGCACCGCTGATAATGTGCCTCTACATGGGAATAATGTACAAAACGCTGGGCGAGTACAGTTGGAGAGGGCTGTACGTCGAACCAGCCGACGAAGAATGCGCATTGGGGGCGCCACCCTCCGTAGTTGGCGATTCATCAGAGGCAGCTGATTCCATTGTGAAAAGTGCCGAAAACTTTCACATGGCGCTTGATAGTCTCAAATCAGTAAAAAATATAATCAGATCTAAAATATTTAAATATTAACATTGTAATTTTATGCAGGTGTTCACAGTGGACGTCTTCCGTGGCCTCTTTGGATTCGGCACGTGGTGGTGCTGCTTCCTATACTTCGGAACTACCTCAGTAGGATTAGTATATCAATCGTACTTTTCACAGTCATAACGTTAGCCACTTCACAGCCGTAATAAGTAAACCGCGAACATTTTCAAACCTCATTTTCCTAAGCTTACGCGTGCAAGTATTCTAGGAAGTTTAGTCATGTAAGTTTATAAAACGATGTTAATTGATATCAAAACCAAATGATAAGATTAACACGCGCAACACGTGAACGTTTGAAACGAATTTGCGCGAATCATCATTACCGACATCGAGTAGCATTTGCGAACGTGATCGCAGCCCGCTGCTTGGAAACCAGTCGCGGCGATTAATAAACAGCGTAGATCGAGTGACGCAGCAACAATGACAATTGTAAACGCGTCTAGACTTTGCTTGCATCAAGTTGGTGCGAAACTTGGAGGCAAGAATTTACGTATTCAGAGTTAATTTTTGACTGTGTGCAGTTTTTGTATCTAGCGTCGATTTTACGCATGTGTATCACGTCATTAACATGCGTTCAATTGTTTCTTTTTGTTTGTTCTTCATGTCCACAAATAAATATTTACCAAAAATGTTTTTTATTGTTTAGTTAATACAGCTTTACGCCTTTATATTAGGCATAAACAAGAAAAGAAAAAACCGTTGAAACACATGGTTGCTGCTCTCAAAATGGAGGCAGACGCGGAAGTCGTTAAGAAAAATTTAAAGCGTGATCCAAAATGGGAAAAAGAAAGGCTGAGCGCCGCACCGAGGGACATTCCCCTGTTTGTGCATTCAAGTTGAAGGTGCAAGCAGCTGCATCTCTTTTCTTAGAACTTGTGCTAGTCCCATTTTGAAAAAAAAAACTATACCTGGGCATTTACAAACCGTTAAATTTCAATACAATGACTCAATATTCCCATGCATTTTACCTATGCGACCATGTCTTGCTTGAATATACGCATGTTATATTGCGAAACCTTGAAACGACGAACAGATCGCATTGCGACAACGACCACGTGTTTAGCACTCGATGAACGCGCTGAACGGTTCAAGTTCATTTCGAATTGTCGCCTTTTACAGATTTGGATAATCTCAACATCCTCAACACTGCACAACATTGTGATTTGGTATCTGCTAAGAATGACTCATTATATTCATTATGATTTGTGCTGAATTTAATGAAACAGTTCAAAATGCTGACGAGTATTTATTTTCTCTTGAATTCTCCGGAACTATCTAGAATTCTAGAATAACGTATACTACACCGAAAGAAATTTTAAATATCGCGGGCTATCCATACTCGTGCCCATGGATATTCTGATTTTGGATAATAAAGAGTTACTTATATTTATTTTTACACTCAATGAACCTTAAAAATATTGTAAATAATACTGTGCATATATTATTAATATTATACTATTATTTTGTTTATAATACGCCGGAATTATAACCGGAAATGTTGAGAAGCGTCATTTCGACCAATCGGAGCGCACTGCGTCACGCGCCTCGTTCGCCGGTTGGCCGCGTTCCGGAATATTCTAGAAGCGGCATTGATCCGGTGTATAAAACCGGCCATTGCGAGCCTCCCGTCCCGATTTCAAGCTAAGACGTTGTGCAGTGAACTTCTGCGCGTGAATAATTCAAGTTTTATCTGCATTTATACATAAATCTATAAGGTACGTGAGGTCTATCGATCAACTAACTTCCCTCTATTACGATTAGATATTATTTAGAAGGCTTAGGCGTCAACTGTTTTCATTTTCTACATTTGTGTGACGCACGTGTTTAAGGCGCGTTCCACCAAAAATTACTTGTTCTCGAATCTTCTATTATTTTTCATTGATTCAAAGTAAGAATACAGCGCGTATAAAATCAATAATTAATTAATTACACATGTTGATCGTCACATTGATAATAGCCCAATAGTGTAGCAAGAAATTTATTGTGTTCTTTCATTCTCAGATGGCTAAGGCACCAGCAGTTGGTATTGATCTTGGAACCACCTATTCCTGTGTGGGTGTTTTCCAACATGGAAAGGTCGAAATTATTGCTAACGATCAAGGAAACAGGACAACACCATCCTATGTTGCCTTCACAGACACTGAGCGTCTCATCGGTGATGCCGCCAAGAACCAAGTTGCGATGAACCCCAATAACACAATTTTTGGTAAGATTTGACTGTTAATTCTATGCTTCAGTCCCCCATATATATGAAATGATGATACCAAATGTCATGCCAGACTAGAGTTTATGAGCTACATTATGATTAGTCAAAATATCTGAAGAATGCCTAAAATTCTATTCTCATTCTCATAGATAGCTTGTTTTACTTCAGCCATTAATTTCGTTCTTTATTTTCTTAGATGCTAAACGTCTTATTGGGCGCAAGTTTGAAGACACCACTGTCCAGAGTGATATGAAGCACTGGCCGTTCGAGGTCATCAGCGACGGTGGCAAACCAAAGATCAAGGTTGACTACAAGGGTGAAGCCAAGAGCTTCTTCCCCGAGGAGGTCAGCTCCATGGTTTTGGTTAAGATGAAGGAAACTGCTGAAGCTTATCTTGGCAAGACTGTCACAAATGCTGTCATCACCGTACCCGCATATTTCAACGACTCTCAGCGTCAGGCCACCAAGGATGCCGGTACCATCTCCGGTCTGCAGGTTTTGCGTATCATCAACGAACCCACCGCGGCTGCCATCGCCTACGGTTTGGACAAGAAGGGTGTCGGCGAGCGCAATGTTCTTATCTTTGATTTGGGCGGTGGTACCTTCGATGTGTCCATCTTGACCATTGAAGACGGTATCTTTGAGGTCAAGTCTACCGCTGGTGACACTCACTTGGGCGGTGAAGATTTTGACAATCGTATGGTTAACCACTTTGTGCAGGAATTCAAGCGCAAATACAAGAAGGATTTGACTAGCAACAAGCGTGCCCTGCGTCGTCTGCGCACATCTTGCGAACGTGCGAAGCGTACCCTGTCATCCTCCACCCAGGCGTCCATTGAAATCGATTCCTTGTTCGAGGGTATTGATTTCTACACCTCCATCACCAGGGCTCGTTTCGAAGAGTTGAACGCTGACTTGTTCCGCTCCACCATGGAACCCGTCGAGAAGTCGATCCGCGACGCCAAGATGGACAAAGCTCATATCCACGACATCGTACTTGTCGGTGGTTCTACTCGTATCCCGAAAGTCCAGAAGTTGTTGCAAGACTTCTTCAATGGCAAGGAGTTGAACAAATCGATCAACCCCGATGAAGCCGTCGCGTACGGTGCTGCCGTCCAGGCTGCCATCTTGCACGGTGACAAGTCCGAAGAGGTGCAGGATCTGCTCCTCCTCGACGTAACTCCATTGTCTTTGGGTATCGAAACTGCTGGCGGTGTGATGACTGCTTTGATTAAGCGTAACACTACCATTCCCACCAAGCAGACTCAGACCTTCACGACCTACTCAGACAACCAACCTGGTGTCTTGATCCAGGTTTACGAAGGTGAACGTGCCATGACTAAGGACAACAATATCCTTGGAAAGTTCGAGCTCACCGGCATTCCACCAGCGCCCCGTGGTGTTCCTCAAATCGAAGTCACCTTCGACATTGACGCCAACGGTATCTTGAACGTAACTGCTATCGAGAAGTCCACCAACAAGGAGAACAAGATCACCATTACCAACGACAAGGGTCGTCTCAGTAAGGAGGAAATCGAGCGTATGGTTAACGAAGCTGAGAAATACCGCAACGAAGATGAGAAACAGAAGAGCACAATTTCCGCCAAGAACGGTCTCGAATCTTACTGCTTCAACATCAAGAGCACTATGGAGGATGACAAGATCAAGGAGAAGATCAGTGACGCCGAAAAAACTCAGGTCATGGACAAGGTTAACGAAGTCATCGCCTGGTTGGATGCCAACCAGTTGGGCGAGAAGGAAGAATACGAACACAAGCAGAAGGAATTGGAGGGCTTGTGCAATCCGATCATTGCCAAGTTGTACCAGGGAGGCGCCGGTGGTGCTCCGGGCGGTATGCCTGGTGGATTCCCTGGTGCTGGCGGTGCTGCCCCCGGTGCAGGTGCTCCGGGCGCTGGCGGTGCCGGTCCGACCATCGAAGAAGTCGATTAAATAACTCCACATTCCTTACTCCAGTATTATTTGCAGAATTTGCCTAATTTATACGTCACCGTTTTAATATGAATCTGATTTTTCACCAAAGATGACAAACTGTTTGTTCGAGGGTGTTTTTGAATGGAAACATCTCTTCAAATTTTCGTATTTCTGAACTAGGAAACTTGAATTGTTCAATAAAGCGTCGAAATCCTTACATAAAACTTTGTTATATATTGTGCTAACCATCCCTGAATATCCTGCGCCGCCTCTCGTTAGGCGAGCGGAACGAACTTTTATTTTCATCCTGCTACTTTCGTAAACATTCATTTTAGTTCACTTCCATCACTCTAGGTACGAACACATATCTCGCGTGGTTTATACGATTTTTATTTCCATGAATCTCTTGTTTGTCTCTGCTTTGTAACTAATATTCGGCAACATTCAGTGGTAATTCACGTGTGTTGTGTGTTGGTCAATTTAATTTGGATGGCGCATTTTTATTCTTTCTCATCATGGTCTGTTTGTTATTGTCTGCAGTAACTAACTTTGCATGCAATTAAAGTGTTTTCGCAAATTTATTTCAAAATTTAAAGAAACTTACGTTTGTAAGGCAATATTTTTTAAACGAGCACTTATTTTGTTCCCACAATGAAAATTAGATGTAATTAAACTGAAACACGCTTGTGGCTACAATACTTCCTTGAATCAGGGTTTTATTTCTGGTTTTCTCTTAATGTCAAGCATCTTATTTTAATATAGATTTTTTCCTACGAAGCACGATACAATGGTAAGTTACTAATTCCACCATTTTGATCGTTCATTTATATTTATAAAACGTGGATAATAGAATAGTTAGAAAATTAACATCCATCATTATGGATTGAATATTAGATGTTCTTTTTCAACAATATAAATGATTCTCTTCAAACATTTATACTCTGTATCTAAACAACCTTTTCACCTTCAACAAGTGCCGTTTGCATAAAGTCGCTTCGTGCGTTCGATCAGTGCGCACAATCCGCGTTCGGCACAAGCAGTATCAGCGCACGCTTTATTCGCGTCGTTCGAGTTTACTTGATCGTAGTAGAACATAGTCGTCGGTTGATGCACACGCGTTTCTTGCGAGTTGTCTCCTTGTTCTCTTGTGAATTTGTTTGTGCTACTACCGTACGGTTGTGCTCTCGATCTATTGTTTATTTGCCGGGCGTGCACAAGAAACTTAACTTGCATTATTCCGAGGAATAAAATTGATACTTATAAATTATATTCGTTTCCAAATTCGTGTAATATCTGTTTTTATCAATTTTGTGTCACAAACCAGTGAATTCCACAATCGCCACAATCGATTCAGCATCGATTCCATGGGATTGCTGCAAACTGCGTGGGACATCAGTTACAGTTCGTCGCCGATACCCTGGTAACTTTATAATTGATTTAATATTTTTGATTTATGTACTCTTGCATTTTTGAAATGAATTATTATTGACTTCCTTGATATCATAGTGATAGTATGCACGCGAGAATATTATTCATCTACTAAATTCTTTCAACGTGGTAAAACTTAGTTGGTACTCACATGGAATTGTTTTTGTTTTCTTCTCTTCGCGCTTATCACTGCCCGTGGGTAAACAACTTTTTTTAAAGGCAAGTCTGTTCGCACGTAGTTGCAGTGTTTACAAGTCGCAGCATGGCTTAGCATACGTACATTAACAATGCTTAAATGTTACGTTTTAAAACATAATAAGTTAAAAACAAACTTGCACTTAAACACGGATTGTACATACACAGAGGTAAAGCGTGAGTGATATTCCGTCGGCCGTCGGATACTCTTTTTGTATTATACGCGTATTTCATCGTTCCTACAATGTGCTTAATTAAGGTCCTTTCAACCTATTAGTAATGCCAAAAGCGTATGTTATCGCATTTCTTCAACCATATGAAAATCAAATCTGTTGTTGACTTTACTTGTTTTTTTTTACCTCAACCGCGTGCTCTCTTAGCAGACAAATAATTGTTGTTTCTGTTTCAATACCCACTCTTAAACTTCCGCGAAATACGGTCGTAACTGCCTCAAAATGGCCGCCAAAGTTTGCCTTTTTTTTTACATTTTCCAAAACATGCGGTGGAAAACGGGTCATATCACGCGAACCCTTCGCGATATTTTTATTTTTTCTTTGAATTCTGTTAGATTAAGAGTTCTTTTTTAAAATGCATTCCTAAACTTCCGCGAAATTCGGCCGCAACTGCCTCAAAATGGCCGCCAAAGTTTGCCCTTTTTTAGCATTTTCCAAAACATGCGGTGGAAAACGGGTCATATCTCGCGAACCCTTCGCGATATTTTTATTTTTTCTTTGAATTCTGTTAGATTAAGAGTTCTTTTTTAAAATGCACTCTTAAACTCCCGCGGTATTTGGTTGTAACTGCTTTAAAATGGCCGCCAAAGTTTGCCCTTTTTTTACATTTTCCAAAACATGCGGTGGAAAACGGGTCATATCTCGCGAACCCTTCGCGATATTATTATTTTTTCCTTGAATTCTTTTAGATTAAGAGTTCTTTTTTAAAATGCACTCTTAAATTCCCGCGAAATTCGGTCCTAACTGCTTCAAAATGGCCAAAGGAACACCTACCCTACCAACCTGGTGAAGATCAGCTGCGTTTCTATGGGATGCGATACTTTTTGAATTTGTCCCATATTTTTCAAACCAGTGCAAATAATGCGTACAGGGAAGGACAGAAAAGAAATCTCCCGACTTTGAAACCACGGCACATTTTTCTATTTCACTTTGAATTAGAATTGTATATGTTTAGGGAACTTTGACAATTAATTTAATGAATGCTTGTGGAATAGCAATCTGTGTAAACTTTTTATTACGATACTTACTAAAATTAATTGATTTAAGTTTACTTATCCAGCCTTCTTGTACATATTTCAACGTCATTATAAAGGTTATCAAGAGTTTACATTGTATTGCACATTTAATCGCTTCACGACTTTTACTGTATCGTATTATTGCTTGTTGTTGTGCGAATGGGGCGAGTTTACGTTGTATTTGTTGGTGGTAATGCGGAATGGTAATTGCCGCACTGTTGTTATTATCTACCTTTAACTCGCGTAGGGGGCGTCTATAGAAATGTCAAATTATAGCAATATGCAAATAATAAACAAAAATTATAGCAATACTAGTAACATTATGTTGTCCATGCAATAACTTTTGTGATTTTCTCACATTTTGAGCCCCAAAATTGCATTTTATATTCGAAGGACTAATTTTTGCTGGTTTCAGGGATTTTGCACGTGAGTCTGACATCGTAGAAGGACCATTTTTGCACCAGATAGTAAGTATTTAATTTCTTTATCATTTTGCTAATTAACTTTTGTGATTATTGTGTAATTGGCCCCCTAAATTTATGTTTGTGTGTTTTCTTTCATAAAGAATATTTTTTAAGTTTTTCTAATTATAATTATTTCTGTTATTTCAACTTGATCACATATTTAACGACTCCTTAAACCAAAGAAATTTTTGACTTTTTTTATGACGAAATCTTTTTTTTAACAAATGCAACTTTTGAAATAATTGGAATATTTAGTTTCAAAATTTAAGTTTGTTATTAAAAGTTCCATGCAGAGTACTAGTACAATTCTTTTCCTGTTCGGCATGTACTGAAAGTATCTATGTTTTCTAACAAACAAGGTTTTCTTATCTCGTGCAATTTTTGTGCCTTCGCCACGCGGTTAGCTCGCGTAGCACGTTAGTCTCATTTTTGTCGTCGGGTGATGCGCACGCACATTTTCTTCATTATTCTTGAGTTTCTTAATTTACCTTCGCGTTGTTACGTAATAATTTTGAATGCTTTTTGGATTGTACGCGCGTGATGTGCGGCTGCGTTTTGTCCGGATTGCACTTTTATTGCGGCAGAAATTGTTAGCTGTTGATATTTTGTAACTGTAATGTAACTATTGTTAATTGTTGTCAATAAAACACAATGTTTGATTATAATCTCATTCATATTTTTTTGTGGTATCCTTTTTGTCGTTTTCAGTTTTAAATAATATGGCATATAAGTCTTATGTGTGAGCAGCGGGTATAAGATAACTAACTGTTACTTGAATTGTGTTGTTGTTTTTAAAAACATGATAAAAGTCGAAACATAAATAGAAGAATCAAATGACAACAATAAAAACACTCGGTGGTCGAGTGGAGACGTGCACCTGCTGGCATGCTAGCAGACACGGATCGAATCTCAGGTATGGAAGGCATTTTTCTCAAATATAAAAATATCAGGTGTAATTTGGGTTGCATATATGAATTGCAACGAAATATAAGAGAAATTGAAATACAAGTGAAGGCAATATGAGAAGAAATAAGAAAGCAAGTGGAGAAATGGAAGAAGAAGGAAGGAGTAGTAGAGAATGGGAGAAGATAGAAGGAAGAGAACAGAGAGTAGAGTAGAGTAGAGAAGAGGAGGAGATAGAAGAAAGAGAACAGGGGAGAACAGATTTTTAAATTTTTTGGCACGTGTCGTTATAAGACAGTCTACGGCCCACTGCTTCGATCCGTCCATTGCTCCCGGCCCATCCTACAGCTACGATGTCTCTGCGCTTCATCCCCGAAATTATCAGACATATCAACAATTTTTATGGTGGGGGATCACCCCCAGAGAGGGGGATCTCCTTATAAGGACAATCCTTATAAGGTCTTGTTCAAATATTTCTAAGTTTTGTCGCCTCAAGAGAGGTGACACTTAAAAATATTCTTACAAGTTCTGACCTGTTGCTGAAATGAAAGAAGGAGCACACAAATCACACAGGATACCTTAACAATTTTTATAGTGGGGATCATCCCCTGAGAGAGGGAACTCTCTTAGAGACCTGTTCCTGAAATGATAGAAGGAGTGCACAAATCAAAGAAGTCAATATATCTTACTATTTATTTATTAACAATAGAATACAAGTATATATTTTACAAGTCAACAGAATACATGCCGGCATATTGACACCGAACTTACGACCTGCATCATCGCGCACATATAAGCAAGTAACACATCAAAATGTTCTAGCGGGATAAAGAATTTAGCAAATTGTCCATTTTCTAGGTGATGGAAAATGGAAACAAATATACAGGGTGTCACAAAAGAAAAATTTTAAGTGCATACAGGAAAACATATATTAACACTCAAATATCACTCGTTTTTCACCGTTACTCTGGGAAACAAATATACA